CGATATTGCCTTTTGTATTCCTCCTCAGATGATGGCCGGTAAAGACTTTCATCTCGGAGGTGCAATTTTGTTATGGCAATATCAAGATCTCGAGGCAATACCACGAACTCACCTCCTTTATCGCTGACGGATATTTTGACGCGATTGGAGTGTGTGAGATCCCTCAGTTCTTGGAGCCCGCGTTTTTGCGCAGCTGTGAGATTTGAGGGTGGTCTTATCGAGCTGTTGCGACTAAGCATGGAGAATATGGAGGTCGCGAACAGCCGAAACTTGACATCCACCGAGGGATTGGGGTCTTGGGATCTGAAGAAAAGGGAGGGGAATGGCATCGCGGGAAAACGTGATGGTATCACGGATTGTGGGCCGTTTTCCTGCAGTTTGGCCTTGAGGCGAAGATTGTCTTGAAGAGTTTGCAAGGCTCCCAGGATTTTTCGCGATACCCCATGGCCTATGTCGCTACATACTTCTGTTTCAGGTATCTTATGAAATCTGCAGAAGCGGCTAAAAATGGACGAGCTCTTGGAAAACTTGTCGAGTATCTCGTGAAACCTAGCGAAAAGCACTCTACCATCGATCGCAATCCAGATCACGGTACTTTTCAAAATATCGTTGTTTTCCTTTGCAAAGTCACTGGCTTTCTGAGATCATTTTTCAGGAGTTCAAGCGCTGCTTGTGCGTGCAACTCATCCTTTGAGATATATTTTAAGAAGACACAGGTCGGCGACGGGGGGGGCATTTTGCACTTTCATTGCTCCACTAGTTCCGGTTTGCATACTTTACCTGATGAAACCTGTGAACTCCTGTGAAGCTGGAGCAAGCTCGTTGAGCCACCATGGTAAAGCCTGCAAGCTCGAGTACCCTCATGAAATAGATCCCTAGATGCCTGGACATGGATGGGAAGTAGAAAGAGTGCAAAATACCCCCCCCCCTCCGTCGCCGAACTGAACTTTTAATACAAGAAAGCGCATCCAGAAGAGGTTGATCAGCACGGTCTACTTTACCCCCACTTGATTTGAGGTTCAAATACAAATGATACTGTAAGCCTCTAGATTTTATTTCATTTATGTCACGCTATTTCATTTCTTGCCGTCATAGGAGCGCTAGAACGGAGGCAAGTGAGCATAAAGACAAGCGCGAATCATAGTTCCCTGCTGCGAAGGCATGGCCCACCCTGACTACATGAGCGGAGTTAGATCGCCCATGTAACAGCGCGGCCTCCCTGTGCTCCCTGCACTGGAGCATCTGTTTTTCATGACAGCGAATATTAAGTGACACAAGTGAGGCTTTTTCTACAACGCTAAAGAGGAAGTACGCGCCAAAGATGGATACAATAGAGCTCCAGACTTGTAGCTGGCCCACAAGATCCTCGTGATTTTTGCTTTTAGGGCGACTCACTTGGCCTTTACTCTTGCAGTGCGATGAGTGTTTTGTACAGTTAGTGAGTTTACAGGTTATACTGCCCATCTGAAAGCGTTCGACAAGGCAGCCAAGCTGCAAACGATGAAGGCCTATGAAAGGATGCGATCGCTTCGAGCTCAAGGACTTTCTGAGGAAGAAGCGTGGAATGCAA